AGACAACTACCATTACTTCCCCCATTTCACAGATGAGGACATGGAGGACCCACAGAATTGAGTCACTTGCCCCAATCACAAACCCTGGCAAGTGCTAGACCCACATGCCTGAATACTAAGCTAGACCTCCCCTCCAGACTCCCGAGTTGGAGCCACGTTCTGCACACCGTGTGTGGCCGCTGGGGAAGGCACTGGGGCCCTCAGAATGTTGCAGCAACTCTGTGCCAGACTCCGTGCCTGCTTCCTCAGCCTCATTTAACACCTCAAGACCAGGAAATGCCCAGAAGCCACACAGCTGTGGATTCTTCTGCTACTGATAAAGCTTCTTTTAAATAAGTCATTTCCTTCCAAAAAGAGGAAAAAATGTTTTTAGACTGTAGCAGAAATATCCACCCCGTGCTCAAATACGCACCCTCTGGTCTGACCCCGCTCAAGCCCCCAAACACTATGCCAGGAAGCACCAGTTGCTGGAAGACCTCCCATCCGGCCACGCGTCCCTTGTGGCATAGGGACCTGAGGTCACTACTGATCCCGCCACCAGAGGCCCATTCACTCAGTCTCGTGACAGGAACACACTTGCCTCCTTGGAAGCTGGCCATCGACCTGGTTGTCCCAATTTACCGGGTGGGGCATTCATTTCTGTCTTGTTCTGTCTGTCCTCCTTCCCGGCCAGTTTCTCTCTCCTCTGTCTTTATCTTGCTCTCTTTTCCTATCACTTCATTTGTTCGTTTGTTCATTCGTTCATTCATTTGTTCATTCATTCGTTCCTTTTTCTTTGGGCCTTATTTATTGAGATTGTATCCGATCCATCGGTTTCCATTCTTGATTTCTCTCCTACTCAGGTAGCCCTCTGCCATAAGGATCACTGGCCGCCATCAACAAGCTGAACCGTCCCTACCCCCTCCTCTGACCAGCCCCAGGGCTTGGGCTGCGTCAAGCTCAGGCTACTTGGATTTTCCTGCCAACTAGATAATATATTCATATCTTTTTAAAGATCTTTATTTATTTGAGAGAGAGAGAGAAAAAGTGGGCAGGGAGGAGGGGCAGAGAGAGAGAGAGAGAGAGAGAGGCAGACTCCCTGCTGAGCAGGGAGCCCAATGCAGGGCTTGATCCCAAGAGCCTGAGATCATGACCTGAGCTGAAGGCAGACGCTTAACCGACTGAGCCACCCAGGTGCCCCTATATTCATATTTTTTATCAGTTTTATTGAGCTATAGTCACATACATTTAAGTTCAACCATTTTAAGGATACAGTTCAATGACTTTTGGCAAAGGTATAAAGGCATGTGTTGACTACCAAAATCAAGATACAGAACAGTTCCATCACCCCAGAAAGTTTTCTTGTGCCCCTTTGCAATCAGTCAGTCCTCTCCCCTCACCCCTGACCATTGGCAAGCTCCGTTTTCTGTTACTAGATTTTGGGCATTTTTAAGAATGTCATATAAATGGCATCACAGAATATGTAGACTTATGGGGCGCCTGGGTGGCTCAGTCATTAGGTGTCTGCCTTCGGCTCAGGTCGTGATCCCAGGGTCCTGGGATCGAGCCCCACGTCAGGCTCCCTGCTCAGCGGGAAGCCTGCTTCTCCCTCTCCCACTCCCCCTGCTTGTGTTCCCTCTCTCGCTGTGCCTCTCTCTGTCAAATAAATAAACAAAATCTTAAAAAAAAAAAAAAGAAAATGTAGTCTTATGTGTCCTGCTTCTTAAGATGGTGTTAAGATTTATCCACGCCATTGCATGTATTACCAAGGAGTAGTCCACTGTGGTTGTAACACAGTTTGTTCATTCATTCACCAGTTGATTGGCATTTGGGTTATTTCCAGTTTGGGGCTAAAATGAACGAAGCCACTGAGAACATTCATGTATGAGTCCTTGTATGGACATATGTTTTCATTTTACTTTGATAACTGCTTGTGAGTAGGATTGCTGAGTAGTGTGCTAAGTGTATATTTAACTTTATAACAAGTGGCCTCCTTGTTTTCCAATGTGGTGGCACCATTTTACATTCGACTAGCAGTATATGAGTTACAGTTGCTCACATTCTCACCAGCACTTGATATGGTCAGTCTTTTTAATTCTAACCATTCTCATAGGTGTGTAGTGGTATCTCATGGTAGTTTTACCTCACATTTTCCTCATAATTGGTGATGTTGAGCATCTTTTCAAGTGCTTCTTGGCCACTTGATATATCTTTTGTGGCATCTTTACCCATTTTTGACTGGGTTGTTTGCCATTTTCTGTATGGGTTGTAAGAGCTTTTCTGATATTTTTTCATCTGCCTTTTCTTCTTCCTTCCTTCCTCTATCCCTCTGGCTCTACTTCTTTCTCCCACTAGGTCCCCGTCCCAGTTCCTGAGAAACACACCCCTGCCCCCAGAGTTGTCCATGGTCTCCCCTTCTCTCCCTCCTCCTTTGCCTCTTTCCTCCCTGCCCACACATGTTCTCCCTTCTCCTCCAGGACACCTCAAAACCTGAGAATCTGGCCTCACTTCCCATTCCATATCAGAAAGCACTCCGTCACAAGCCTGCTGATCTTAGTCCTGCCTAGGTTTAATGTTCCAAAAAGGGGGAAGGACCCTCCTCTCCAGACGAACGAACACCTAGAGAAGTAAAAAGCCTAGTGTCATGGAGGGATGGCTTTGCATTCTGGCATCTTCCTCCTCCCTAAATAAGTAATAGTGTTTACAGATAGAAGGGCTTTTTACTCAAACACAACACTGGAAAGTCATGGGTATTAAGTGAAGTGCATCCTGCTTAATCAGTGGTCCAACCGTCTCCAAGAACATAAGATTAATTGTTCACATAACAAGGCTCTCCCCTTGGCACATCTCCCAAGCCCAGCAGGGATTTATCTTGCCCAGTCACAGGGAAGGAGCAGCCTAGCCCAAAGCTGGCAACTTGTCTTCTCTGTTTACGAGAACTGGTGTGACAATATTTGATTGCAAAGCTCAGAGAATTTTACGCAGTGTTAGTGCTAGATAGGTGACTATGGAATTTTTTTTTTAAGAGCTTACTTAGATATACTTCACCTGCCATACAGTTCACCCATTTTAAAGTATACAATTTAGTGGTTTTAATAACAACCATTACCACAACTTTACAACACTTCATCACCTCCAAAAGAAACCCTGTAACTCTTCAACTACCACTCCCATAACCCTTCTTATCCCTAACCCCTAATCTACTTTCTATCTCTACAGATTTGTCTATTCTGAACATTTTACATAAATGGAATTATATAATATGGTCTTTTGTATCTGGCTTCTTTCACTTAGCATAATGTTTTCAAGGTTTATCCATGTTCTAACATGTATCAGTACTTCATTCCTTTTATGGCTGAATAGTATTCCATTGTACAGATACACCACATCTTTTTTATCCATTCATCAGTTGATGGACATTTGGGTTATTTCTACCTTTTGGCTATTATGATCAATGCTGCTATAAACATTCATGTATAAGTTTTTATGTACTAGGAGTGGACTTACTGGGTCTAATGCTAATTCTGTTTAATCATTTGAGGAACCACCAGACTATTTTCCAAAGGAGTGACACCATACTACATTCCTTCCCACCAGCAACTGTATGAGAGTTTCAGTTTCTCTCTGTTCTCCCCAACCCTTCTTATTATCTGACTAGAATTGTTCTCTGATCCTATAACTATATCCTCGAACTGTAAAACATACATACATAGCACACATATCTTCAGACAATCGTCAGCAAAGAACACACACAAAACTACCAAGTCGTGCCTACCAGCACATACCTCTAGAACTCACACACATACACATAGAATCCCACACAAACATTTACAATCACAGGTTCTTTACAGACAGTCACACACGGTACACATGCATATCAACCCACAGACTCACATGTGTGAACATAATCAGACATAAAACAGACCAATGTTCTTGCACAAGTGCGTACAATTGTGATGGGTTGTGCACAAACACAGAACCAAAGACACATGCACTCAATAACGCATTCCCTCTTGCCCAAACACACATACACAAACAAGAGTTGTACCCGAAAAGCATAGGCCTAAAAAAGCACACATACACAGTTACCCTCACTCATGGGGGGATAACTGAAGATAGATTGAATGTATTTACTCTGGGTGACATGGAGATGGTTGAGATTATATCAGTCCTTGGTCTACTGGGTAGGAAGACATATTCATTCATTTATTTGTTCTTTAAGCTACAAGTCCATACTGAGCACATAGAAAAGACAAGACCTCTGTGAGAGGTGCCAACAAGGAAATGAGCAAGGTCATAGGTCACACAGGCAGGGTGCCAGGAGAGTAGTTTCTGGGTGTGTCTAGCACTGTTGCTCCCTCTTTCATCCTGGCAAAGTGAACGCTATTCAGATACACCTTTCATAAATCACTGGATAAACTGGTGTGTCTGTGTGTGTGTTAATACTAGCACTAGTAAGAGTGTGGGCTCAGGACCTAGATTATGCTGGTTTAAAATTTGATTTCTTATGAATTAAATGATCCTTCCCTCAGTTTCTCTTCCCAAATTAGGGATGATAATAGTACCTTTAGTAAGGATTAAATTAGCTGTTACTTGTAAAGCACTTAAAAGTGCCCGGCCAGTGTAATGTTCTCATTAGCAGCCATCATATCATTTTCTGAGAGTACATTTCCATAGAGCGGGTGAGTGTGCTGGGAGGGGGGTGGGGAGAAGCCGGGGGGAAAGATCAAGGAGCCTGGCAGTGCCCCGTTGACTGGAAATTGGATGAGTCTTCATCTTCCACCATATCTGAGCAGTCATTTGGAATGCAGCCCTGGCATGCCACCCCAGCAGGCCATAAACCAGTCTAGCCCCACCCGCTCTGCCCACAGCCCCAAACCACAGCAAAGATGCACGATGGGGCGGCACTGGGCATGGCTTCTTGGTTTTCAGCTGTGTCAGGCCTTTTGGCAGCAGCTCTGCTGTGGGCCTGGCTTATGGCACTCACTGGTTCTGCTTGGCTGTCTTTTCTGTCTATGTAGGTCAGCACTTACCACCCTGTACCTGCCTCCCCAGGACATTCCACGGCCATCGTCAGTCTGTCTGGCTCCCAGAAACACCTCTCAGCAAACATGTGAGTAACAAGCTCAGCCCTCCATGTCCAGGTCCTGGCCAGAGGGGTCCTCGTGGCCATCCCTCTGCCGCCAAGCATCACCACTCCCAAACCATCCCATCCAGAGAGACAAGAGCTCCCCTTCCTTTGTATCCTTCAATGGAAATAATGCTGAAAAACACAAACTGGCAGACCACATTAACCTAACTCATTATTCTACAACAGTAGAAAGAAACTGGAAGAGTATACACGAAAACACTGCTGGGAGGTTGGCTATTGAGCAATTTCTACTGACTTCCTTCAGATTCAAAATGTTGGGTCATAAATAGATACTGCTTTAGGATCAGCGGAAAATAAATATAGCATTTTAGAGGGGGAAATCCTTGTGGATGAGAACACACCCCCAGCTCCTTTGATAAAACCTCCCAGTGTCTCATAGTCCTTGGAGTCTAGAAGGACTTCTTGATGTCCATCCTGAGGCCATACACTGGTAACCTGAATCTGGCAAGCCAACGTGGGTTCTTTTTTTTTTTTTTAACTCAGGCAGATATTCTCACTTTCACAGCCTCGCTAGTGTCTCCCCCCTCCCCCACAACGCCTACCTGGATGTTATTTATCTGCCTGACTCTTGTGCTGACCGCAGAGTGAAAGTCACTGCTCTCCCCCAGGGACATCTTGCGATGTTACAAGCCCATTCCCCTCCAGCCCACCACGCAGCCAGGATCCACTGTGTGCTCACAGACTAAAGTCAACTCCTGCCTACATTCGCAGTGTCCACGTCCCTGCCTACATTAAGCCACTCCTGGGGGTCAAACATGTCCTCTCAGGAGAGGGAGTGGATCAGAGAGGCTTGTGATCTCTCCTTTCCCTTAACTTGCTGGCTGCAACCATTTCCTTGGGTGATAGTCTGAGCAGTATGAAAAAGCACCCTGAGCAGTAGCCATCACTTCTAGGTTCGAGACCAGGCTCTGCCACTAATCCCTGGCCACCAACTCCTGTCTCTGTCCTAGGCCGCTCTCCCCACTGTCAAAATGCCAGGGTGGCCTAGCTTAGCGATTCCCAGCCCTGTGGCACTCTGTGGAGGACACAGGAGTCAGGGAGGGCAGGGGTGTGGGCCCTCTGCGGCTGCTTCACCTCCATGCTCCATCACTACTGCCTGCCTTCCGTCCCGAAGAAGTTTGTTATCACTGACCCAGGGGACGGGGGTCCCTGAGGTTCTGCTTCCCTTCGCCCTCTGCTGGCTCCATGGCCCTCTGCCAGGCACGCTCACCTTCTTCACCAGTTCCCTTGTCTCCGCAGGTTTGTAGCCCTGCACTCCTACTCAGCCCACGGACCGGATGAGCTGGACCTGCAGAAGGGAGAAGGCATCAGGGTCCTGGGCAAGTACCCGGATGGCTGGCTCAGGGGCGTCTCCTTGGTCACTGGGCGGGTCGGCATCTTCCCCAACAACTATGTCATCCCCATTTTCAGGTGCGTCCCCTCTGTTCTCAGGCAGCAGAGGTCGGGTCACCAAGGCCGGGGGCCATCTGTGGGTTGCATCACTGAAGGACTTAGTGCTCCTTCAGAGCGTGGGCCAAGAAGTAGCCCTAGTAACCCCCTAACACTTTATTTTTTTTTAATAGTAACAAGTTATCTTTTTTATAGCTCTTCACATTTTACAAGCACTTTCTCATCTTTTACCTCATTGCCTGTGCCCAAGAGTCCTTCCCATAAGGTAGATAGTATTTTCCAGATGAGGAAAGTGATGTACAGAGTTAAGCAACCTGCTCAAGAACGGGGTTTCAGGTTTTCACTGTATAAACCCCCCAAATCCCATTCACATCCCGCCCCCTGACACTCCCATCTAGTCAAATAATGGGAACCTGCGACGATCAGAAGACCCTCAGAGCATCTTGGGAAACTTCCTAGGACACTAAGCCAGTAGGCAAGTTTCCGTGACTCAGACCACCACCTGTCCATCCACACCCCAGGCCGCAGGCAGGTTACCCTGGAGGTCCGTGTCCCTCACAGCCTTCCCAACCTTTTTCATTCTCTGGCACACCTGACACTTCCGCTTTGTCTGGCTGCTCGGACCACGACCACAGAGGCACACGGGTCCCAGCACCGCCCGTGGCTCCTCCTCTCTCCACCCCACGCCAGCCCAGGCACAGTGTGTCACAAGGCAGTGAGGCCAGCCCCACACACCAAACACTGGCTTTATGACATACCTCCGAGGAAAGGGATAACCCATTGTACTCTCTGGGGGTCAGACCTGGAGTCATATGTCCAGTTTGGGGGACCTTCATGTAGGTGGGGCCCGGTGTCCGGAGGAGAGCAACAAGGATGGTGAGGAGACAGAAAAGTACACCACAGGAGAAACTGATAGAGAAACTAGGGTTAAGCTGCAGAAGACGAGGGCCAGAGGGACCATAACAGGCTGTGTAGACAGGAAATCTGTTTCCTGTGGGGGCAGCGAACCAGTGGATGCATCTTAGAAGGTTTTGGTTCAGTAAAAGGCTACACTTTCTAATGCATATATTTTTCCAGTAAGGTTGGCTGGTGAGGTGGTAGACCCCCTTTCTAGGAAGAGTGTGGGCAAACTCTGGGTTTCCATAGATCCAGGCTTACATGAAATGATTTCTTCACATGGCAGAAGGTTAGAGTAGAAGTTATTTCCTTCACTGGAAGGTTCTTGCAATTTGTTAGAAAGTTGAAAAATCTCCATACGCAAACTAAGTGTGTCTTTAACTGATGCTTTAGTTCATTTGTTCAACAAATATTTATTGAACACAAACTGTCAGGTACCTTTCTAGACACTGGAGAAACACCATGGCACAAAATCTCTGCCCACTGGAGCTTACGTTCTAGTGGGACAGACAGACAAATAAACAAGATATATAAGCAACATATATGGTGTGTTAACAGTAAAGGCTAAGAAGAAAAATCAGAAAAGCAGGATAGAATTTGTGGTGGGGGGTGGTGATTAAAATTTTAATATGTTGGTCAGGAATGGCCTTACTGAGAAGGAAGAAGGAAGGAAATGAGGCAGGTGTATTCCACACCACGGGAACAGCAAGTACAATTGCCCTGAAGTAGGAGTATGCCTGACCTGAAGGCCAATAGGACTGGATCAGAACAAGTGAGGGGGACAGTAGTAGTAGATGAGGTCTACTACGCAACAGATCATCTATAATTTCCTAAGGCATAATGAGGAATTTGGCTTTAACGCTATTGCAGGGTTTTGAGTATAAAAGTGACATGATCCAACTTACATTTTAACCAGAATCCCTGTAGTTGCTGGCTTGAGAGTAAACCGTAGGAAGCACAGAGACTAATTAAAATGATATTATAATAATCTGGAGGAAAGGTGAGAGTGAACTGAGCCAACGTGTCAGCCATGGAGGCAGGGAGAAGTGGTTAAATTCTGGGTATACTTTGAAGGTGGTCACAACAGGATTTTCTGACAAATGAAATATCGGGTGTGAAAGAATAGAGGAGTCAATGTGAGTCCTCGTCTTTTGCCCTGAGTAACTGGAAAATGGAGTTGCCTTTTATTGAGAGATTTGGGAAAACCAAGAGGAATGGGTTGAAGAGGTGGGCGGCGGGGGGGGCAAAAGCTCAGCTGGCCACAGACTAAGTCTTGGATGCCTTTAGTAATCCCGGCAGAGACTCTGGCAAATGATTGAGTACACAAGCCCAGCATTTTAAGGAAGAAGGTCCGGGCTTGAGATGGTATTTAAAGCCCTAGGACTAGATGAAATCATCTCGGTAGGATCAGTTGCATTAGAGAGAATGACAGTGAGCCAGAAACTAAAATCTTCATGAAATGAGGGGACAGGCTGAGAGAGAAAATGGTAACAAGCTAGAGTGGCAGGTGGTAGAGTCTGATACTACCAGTCAATGCTGGGGAGGGTGGGAGAATGGTCTAGAGGTGCCAATGAAGAGCAAGAAGATGCCCACCCTAACTTATGACCGTTTCCTCCATGACAGGAATTCTCTAGGGACTATGTCTACTACGAGGGCATTTGCTTATGCATCAGGTCTTAGCCCAAAGTCCTGGTTATTCTACAGAGAAAAAAAAAAAAAAAAACCTTTAGAATAAGAGTAACCATGTAATTTGTCACCCAAACTAGGACACTTTTAAGAAAAAAAGAGACACACACTTTTAATACACCAGGAGAACAGGTGTAAACTGAGACTCTCCTAGGAAAAGCTGGACAAATGGTTACCCTAACTAGAATGCATGTAGGATTCCATTCCAGTGGATTTCAAGACTCTAGCTTCCCTTTCCTTCCATCTTGGCTTTTCTCCTAGGTACACCTATTGTGTCCTTAGGCAAGTCATGAGCATCTAGACTCACCCACTCCAAGATGGCACCATGTCAAACAGTGGATGGAGTGTCAGCCATAGGTTGCCATTGAATATGTCCCCCATCTCGAGTTCAGAGAATCCTGAACATGTGTATACAGAGGTGCTACTTATATGGATGGGTGTGTTTGCTTCTAGGGAACCAGAATTTCCAAGAAGAGCAAGTCCCTGTCAGAGTATATTCTCCAGAGGGCTGTTGGGTGACAGAGGATCAGTGCTTCCTGTGTGTGAAGTTCTCTTGGTGGCCCCCTGATGCAAAGAAAGGTCCCATTGTCACTGATCTTAGACATGGGTGATATATGCCCAATTTTCCTACCTGGGAGCAGCTCACCCTTGTTCTTGACCACCCTTTCCACTGTGGGAGGTTTAGCTCCTTCTGCCTCTCAGGGCTGAATATTGTTGTCCTTCGTCCTACTTTTAGCAGGTTGTTTTAGGACTAAGGGGTTGGACTACATGTACAAGGCCACTTTTGGCTCTTTGGTTGTGTGTTTGTGTGAGGCTCTCCTCCCATCTTTGTTTTTCTGTTTGCAGTGATGCTTCTCACTGCCACCAGCCCCCTTGGTGTAGAGTACAGCCTTTTATAAAAGAGCCAGGGCTTGGGACACCTGGGTGGCTCAGTCAGTAGTTAAGTATCTGCCTTCGGCTCAGGTCCCAGGGTCCAGGGATGGAGCCCCACATTGAGCTCCTTGCTCAGCGGGGAGCCTGCTTCTCCGTCTGCCTGCCGCTCCCCCTGCTTTATGCTCTCTCTGAGAAATAAGTAAAATTAAAAAAAAAAAAAGAGCCAGGGCTCAAAACTTTGAGGTGCCCCCTGAGCATTTGCACATTTGCTTTTATTAGCATTATTCCCTAATAAACTCGGCCTGCCAGAGTTTTAGGACTAACTATAGAGAGACTAGAGCTGACCAGACTGGAAGGGTTTTCATTTAAGATTCAGCAAGTGAGCCTTTTAATTACCGAGGGAGGAAAAGGCTGCACGTGCTGCTGCTGGGAACAGTTTTGGAAATGTCTTTCCTATTGTCAGCCCATTTTACAGGATCCAACATCTTGAGGCCCCCATTCAAAAGACCGGCAGATGCAGCCCTTTGCCATGGAGGCCAGTGCTGGGGATTTCTCTCCACTGCTCAACCCTTGGCTCCAGAAAATAGTCTGAGCTCTTACTGGCGGGCAGCCCGTTCCCTTCACTGACCACATCCCCAGGGACGTGAGGCAGGGTGTTGGCCATGGGTGGGAGGCCCCTCACTGCAAGCATCATCCTGGGCATCTGGCTGCATCTGTTTCATGGGCAGAGTGGACCCTATTAAATGATGCCTCACCTACAATGGCTACTACAGCCAGTACAACGGGCTGGCTCATTGTTAAGCTCCATACCACTTTTTCAGGCAAAAGGAGGAGGAAAATAAGGGGAAATGCCCCAAAGAGAAACCCGCAGACATTAACAGGAAGGCCACCAGGGAAGGCACCTCTGAGCCAGGGCCTTGGGCAAGTCAGTCCTTCCCAGGGAGTTAGCAGAGGTTATTTCATCAACAGAGTGACAAGCTGACCCATGGACTGCTCAGGAGGGGCTGTGATCTTGGGGTAGGATTTGTAAAAGGGCAAGAAGGGCGTGTAAAATGACAGCCATTCCCCACGGGGTTCAGGGAGTAGCAAGCTGGAAACAACTGACAAGGGATTGCTGTTCTATAAAACTTTGATACTATTCTTCAAACTCAGAGCCCAAGGCTGAAGAATTAGGGTCTTCGGAAGGCATGTGTAGGGCCTACCCCCAGCCCTAGAGTGTTTCTTTCAAGCAGGATGCAGGCTTTTCCTTGCTACCCAAATAATGAAGGCTCTAACCAGCCAGGACGGGGCATGCTCAGTGGTAAGACAACACACTTCTGTGGTAGAGCAGAGGGCCAGCCTGGACTTGGGTTCAAATCTCAGGTCCAAGAGCTGCTTGGCCAAGTCACTATAAGTCTCAGTTTTCTCATCTATAAAATAGTGGCACGAATAGCACCTACCTCAGAAGGCTGTTGTGAAGAACCCGCGGGCTAATGTGGGCAAAGCACTGCCCAATGCCCAGCATACAGTAAGTGCTCAACATGTCTTAGCCCAAATGACTGGCATCAGTGCTGAAAGCATCACGAGAGCCATTCAACAAACACTTGTTAATAAGCAGTATATGGAGAACACAGAGGATATAAAATAAGTCATATAAAAATCTCTGCCTTCAAAGAGTTTAGCATCTGGTGGAAAAGTCACTGAATGAATAGGAAATCAAAACTGTGGGGCACCTGGGTGGCTCAATCAGTTAAGCGTCCCACTCTTGATTTTTGGCTCGGGTCATGATCTCAAGGTTGTGGGATAGAGCCCCATGTTGGGCTCTGCACTCAGTGCAGAGCCTGCTTATTCCTCTCCCTCTGATCCTCCCCCACCCCACTCTCAAATACATAAATAAGAAAGAAATCAGAACTGCAAAGCAAGTTGAACACATACAAGATCTTGTGCTCTGAGCTCATGGGGTCAAGAGTGATCAGAGCTGGAGTGAAGAATGACAAAATTCAAGTCTTCCTGTTCCATCGGGGCCTCAATCTGAGACCCTGTCCCTGCCCTCAGCACGCCCACACAGGGACCCAGCTGCAGGAGGTGAGGCCCTCATAGTTAAGCCCGTGTGGTTGATAAAGGGAGTGTATGTGGGTAGAAAGAGGATGGAGAGAGGCCACAGTTAGTATATGGTTGAGAGCGGAGAGGTTTTTAAAATAGGACTCTTGACTGAGCATTTTCTTTATTTCTTCTCTTTAAAATGCTTGCAACAACCAGAAAGACATCTAGTTTTCCAGATTCTCGGAGTCCTGGTCTCTACGCCGCATGGACATTATCCAACTCCTCTGTGTCATCCCAAGGCAGCATTTCAGAAGGTGATCCCCGGCAGAACCGGCCCTTCAAGTCCGTCTTTGTGCCCACCGCCATAGTCGATCCTGTGAGGAGCACAGCCAGCCCAGGGACTTTGGGACAGGGCTCTCTTCGGAAATCCGGGCGGAGCAGCATGAGAAAGAGTAAGTGGTGGCAGAGAGGTACGTGCCTAGAGCTAAGTGAGGGGATCGGACTCTGGGGTAGACAGAGCACCTTTTGCAGAAATGAGATCTTAGCTTTAAAACAAGCCTCTGTAAAGGGTGCTTTTAATTCCCTGATAGTGACTGGTTTTATTGGATGAAGCCACACCAACTTAAGGTCATGCCCTTGGTCACTCCATACCTGTATACTGAATGGCTGGGATGATAGCAGCCCTGAGTGCCAACATATAATTACAACACAGACAAGGTGGAGGCTGGCCCCAGTTAAGACAGGACAAGCAAAGTACTCTGGATCATGCTTCTCAAACTATGCTCCAGGGAACCCCTCAGGGGTGCCAAAAGGGAAACATGGGAAGGATGGAGAAGGAAGCAAAGAGGGTTAAGGAGTCAATTCTCAGAGCCCCTAAATCTTGCTTTGTTATTTAACTAATATATATACAAGGTTTAAAAAAATTATATTGTATAGAAATAAGTCTTCATATCCTTAACCCCTATCCCAAGTGCTCTTCCATGTACATGAATAGTAGCTTATAATCATACCTACCGCACTGCTCTGCACCTTGCTTTTGTTTTTACCTGTATAACATCCACATTGCTCACATGGCGAAATTTTTGTCTCCTGATATATTGAACTTCTACATAAGACGTCATTTTCAGGGATTTTACAAAATGTTTGAAACCCATTTTTCTACAAAACATGAAGGTTCTATAATTTGCATACCTCTCTGGAAGGCCATGAGCCATGCAAAGCAGATTTGATTTATTCTACATCCTCTGATTTAAACTGGGCTCTGCAGTCTCCCTTGCTATCTTAAAAGACGATTAAATATGAAAGTGCAGTATGGCTGGTCAAAGCAAGAGGGTAACATGTGGGACAGTATGCCACCCAGGAAAATGTGCCAGGAAAATTAAAACAAATGTCTTCACCCCACCCTCTCCCAGTGCTTTCACCTGACCACCTGATTGACCTCCACTCTCACTGTACTGCCTCTACCACCCTCCTCCTTTCTCCCCACTTGGCCCTTGCTCCAGCCTCTCCCCTCCCCCACACAAACCCTGTACTAAATAATCCACCACAGCAGCCTTCGGCAAGTGACTGGACCTCTTCAGTCTTCAGTTTTCTCATTTGTAAAGTGGAAATGAAAGTTGTACCTACCTCATCAGGGTTACTGTGCAGATTTAGTAAAATAGTCCATGTAAGACTGATGGCACAGTCCCCGGCACATAATAAGTCTCAAGAACTCCTAACCGTTTGTATAGGATGATCATCTTCTCAGTACGATCATGGCTACTACAACTACGTAAGTCATCTCTGGTCCATCCAGTGCGTGAACTGACTCAGTGTTGACATGTTCACACTCAGTCTAGACCACTTCGGAGTGCTGAGAATTGTGTCCTATTGGCAATTGCTCACATTTCCTTTCACACACTCCTTCTCTACCTTGGCAGAGATCTTAATTGGCTTGGAGTTTTCACTGCTTGCATTGTATGCACATGTGATAAAACATTAAATCCCTTGGAAATTAGGAGCCAACAAGATAAATAGATGAGGCATAAAACCAATTTTTCACACATTTCCAGGAACCTAAGGACATGTCTGCCCAGGGCTGCTTTGACTTTCTCAAGTCCCAGAGGCTTTCTCTCTCCCTTTTCCCAAGGTGAGGCTGGTCAAGCTATCAATCTACCCACAGCGAAGAGAAATGACAGGAGAATTGACTGTGCGCCTCATAGGGCTGTCAGTGGAAAAATAAATGTCTACATTGAAAGGGCAGACTTGTGTAAATGGTGCCACGCTTGCTCACCGCAGCTGAGAGCACCGACTGTGTTTAGTGAGTGTTCTGCTTTTCATGTTCACATCCGGCCTGACAAAGAGTTGCAACACAGAACACGGTCTTGGCTCAGGCCCTCTGTGCTGGACACAGATGACTCTGATTCATACACGTGTCCACAGGCTATCACAAAAGACTCACATGTCCCCTATGGCTCCCTAAAAGTTCGGAGACCCTTCTGGGGAAGCAGACTGCAGTGCTTCTCAGGGGTGTTTCTCCTGTCCCCCCGCAGAGTGCACCGAAGTCCCAACTGTTCTCCTGGTCACATACAGGACAATATGCCCAAGGGATGGAGGCCTCCAGTCTTCAGAGAATTTGCAGGGAAGGAATGACTTCCTGTCACTGAGGGAGGATCATCGCAGTTAACAAAACAAAATAAAGCTCAAAGAAGGGATAAAATCACACTCCTGGACCTTGTATTTTTAGGGTTTGCCATCCTTTACCCAAAACCAACGAGAGCTAACAAACACAGGGCATTTATTAGGTTCCAGGCACTGTGCTAACACTTTGCACACATCATAAAATGTAAGCCTCCCAGCCCTGTGAGACATTGCTATCACCTCCGGTTTACATCTGAGGGGCTGAGATGCCAGGAGGGGATGGGGCTGACTTACCCCAGGCTCCCTGCGAGTAAGTCTGATTCCAGAACCTCTGCCATGGGACTTTGCAAAGCTCATCCATACACAGCCCGAACCTTTCCAAATTTGCTTCCATGTGGTTTCAGCGTCTGCCTGCACACACCCTCCCTTAATTCCACTTAGCCTTCCTCCCCGTGGCCCCCAACAAAGGTGATCCCACCGCCACATGCCTACAGCTTCTTCAAATACCTGGTCAGAGCCCCCTCCTGCCCTGTCTGCTTCCCTCTCTCCCTCCCTGCATCCCTCCCAGTTGACTGAGTCTTGTGTTTCTCAATTTCTTCTGTCTCTTTCTTTCGTTTCCTCTCTGGTTTGCATGCCTCTGTTGGCTTCTCACTGTGAAGCTGTCTCTTTAGGTTTGTCTTCTTCACTTTCCAACCGCTAGGCCTGAAGTAAGAGAGCAGGGGTGCCTGTGTGCGCATGTGTGTGTGAGGGAGAGAGGAGACAAATGGAAGTAATGTACCTTCTGACAGCGCCACCTCCACCCCCCCACCAAACGTTTGGCTAGCCAGTTATTTCCTGCCAGCATCAGCAAACAGCACTAAAAAAAGAATAAGGTCACCTTTGAAAGACCCTGAGAGAATGTGAGCACGCTCAAATGGGGAAAGCACTTAACTATTCTGGGATATCAGGACACATGGCTTACACAACCCCAGCCCAGCCTGCTGTCAGCAGCCCCTGATGCTGATATCGGTGTCATATAATTCCTCAGATGGATCCCTGCAGAGACCCGTCCAGTCAGGGATCCCCTCCCTCGTGGTGGGCTCCCTCAGACGCCATCCCACCATGGTTGTACGGCCTCAGCAGTTCCAGTTCTACCAGCCGCAGGGAGTCCCCTCCTCAGCCTCGACAGTGGTGGCAGAACTGGGACCTAAGCCCACTCCCACTGGGGAGCCTGCCCCCACATGCGTCAGCAGGGGCAGTGACACCAGGATCCACTCCGCAGCCAGTTCCCTCATCATGGAAGGCAAGGAAATCCCCATCAAGAGTGAGCCTCTACCTAAACCACCTGCATCTGCCCCACCATCGATCCTGGTGAAACCAGAAAACTCAAGAAATGGCGTCGAAAAGGTAGGAGTGAGGTGACATTAGGGGGGGCCGGACTCTTTATATCCCTAACTTTGCACAGTGTCCCAGCTCCTGAGATTTGTTTTAGTGGACAAGGAATCAAAATCACAGCCTCAAAACAATCCTCACACACAGTGCTCCCCGCCACACACAAACCCCCTCAGGCCACTCACACCCTCTGCAGATGTCCTACTAGATCTCCTTTATGCTTCCTGAATATTTCATAGATAGTTCTTTCGAGCCCCACAGGTGAGTTGGAAAAAACGTGGCTTTGGCATCAGACACGTCTTGATTTGAATTCCAGATCAGCTGCTTGCTATCTGGTGACTTGGCCAAAACATGTCACCTTTCTGAGACTCTTTTTGCCTAATCTGTAAAATAGCAGTAAGAATAGTAACAGCCTCATAGGATTGATGTGGAGATGAAACCAGAGAAGATGTATAAAGTGCTTACACAAGTGTTCATAATATAGAAGAGACAAAACTGAGACACGGGAGAATTTAAGTGATTTATCAAGGTCACAGCAAATTATGACTCCAACAACTTTGTGACCTCTGTGACAGAGGGTCAGATCTTTTAACTTCTAGTCCAGGGCTTTTCCCACTAGAGACATGAGTTTTTGTAAAAGTCTTAGGTTCTCATTAATACCCTTGAGGCAGGAGGAACAGTGAGATAGAGGAGATGACATTAAGAAAATTAGGTGATTGTTATCTTTTAGTTTATTGACCATCACCACCACTACTACCACCATCATCCCCACCACCACCACCATCCCTACCACCACCATCACCATCATCCCCACCACCATCACCACCACCACCCTCACCAGCACCCCCACCACGACCATCACCCTCAGCACCATCACCGTCACCCTCAGCACCACCACCACCACCATCTCCAGCACCACCATCACCACCACCACCATCACCCTCACCAGCATCCCCCACCATGACCATCACTCTCCGCACCATCACCATCACCCTCAGCACCACCACCACCATCACCTCCACCACCATTATCATCACCACCATCACCCCATCACAATCGTCACCCTCAGTACCATCACCATCACCACCACCCCACCACCACCATCACCCTCACCAGCACCCCCACCACCACCATCACCATCAGCACCACCACCACCATCACCTCCACTATCATCACCATCATCACCACCATCACCAACAACACCAGCACCATTACCCATTCCACTCCAGAAGGAAAGATGATGTGATTTCCTCCTCTTTGTTAGGCATTTACCGAATGCTAACAACCTGGCAGGCACTGTGCTGAGGACTTGACATGTCTCATCTCATTTAATCCTGACAGTAACTCTCTGTAGTAGGTTTTAAAATGTCATCCTCATTCTAAAATGAGGACATGGAGGCTTAAGGAGTTGTAGTACATTATCCAAAGGCACAGAGCTGATACATGGGAGTGTCTGAAGTAGAATCCAGATCTGATAGAAAAACTCATGCTCTTCACGCTAAGCTATCAGCTTGTAAGGAAAGGCATTTGGAAAAAGTTAGTGTTGACTGATATAGATGTTGGGAGTTCTTTTTCTGAATTTTAGTATTCAAATCCGTTTTCCAAGCCCCAGTTGCCCTTTACCCCAGGCTGTTAGATATGGCCCTAAAATTATCAGCATTTAATAAGTGCCCAGACCTCTGCAAGATATGGTGAGGGTCAAAAGTATGAAGAAACTCGCATTCTCGGTGGGGGACACTAGGACCCAATTTCATGGAAAACAGAAATGATTTCTAAACAGTGGCACAGAACAGCATTAAGCCCTAAATCAGGGATGTGCTGAAGCAAATACCTGTTGGTACAAGGTAGAGACAGAACAGGCATGGAGAGGTGAAAGGAGGAGGGAGAGAAGGGGAGACCGTGCCTTCTGCGAAAAGGGGGACCTGCTAATCAGCTCCAGGCAGCTGTTGTCAGAATAGGGCACAGGACTCAGTGCAATAGATCTTTGATTTTTTAAGAGACATACGAAATTCTAATTTTTAAATGCCATTACCCGATTTTTATGTGTTGGCCACTAAGTCAAACTTTCAAACATTCCGCAGACGAAATTCAGCCAGCAGAACTCTGCTCTGAGGATAGAAGGCCGTTATGAAACTTAGGAGTTGGAGTTGCCACGGGGGAGCCTTAAAGAAGAGGGGACCCTGAGATAGGTCTTAATGGCAGGCGGAGAGGAGAGAGGGAAGGTGAACTTCTTGTACTTTCTAGAAGGAACTCTAGCCTCTTGCCTCAGCCCTTTGCTCAAGAGGTTGCCTCTCCCATTTCTCCTAGGTAATTTCTCATTCTTCAGTTCTCAATTTAAATAGCTCCCCCTCCAGGAGGCCTTCCATGGCTACCCATTCCAGCCGCAGCTCGAGAGTGCTCCACACCTCCCCTAGCATCTGACACCTCCGCCACCACAGCACGATGCAGAGTAGACTCTCATAAGACACAAGTATTTGCTGAATGAACACAGAAATGAGGCGTTTTAAGGAGGGACAAGTGTTGAGAAACAGCACGAGTCAAGGCCCAGGGAAACCAGCGCAGCTCCCACCTCACCTGGGCCCCTTTGCTCTCCTTTCTCTTGCAGCAAGTCAAAACCGTGAGGTTCCAGAATTACAGTCCTCCCCCTGCCAAACAGTACACCTCCCATCCCACCTCAGGAAAGCCTGAACAGCCTGCCACCCCTAAGGGGTCCCAGCCTGAAGCAGCCCCCACAGGCCCAGAGATGAACGTCCTATTCGCCCACCGAAGCGGCTGCCATTCCGGACAGCAGACAGACCTTCGAAGGAAGTCAAGTTTGGGCAAGACCATGACCCCGGTGTCCACTGCTTCAGCCACACAGACCGTGTTTCCCAGCAAGTGAATCTACGAGTGGCTTTTCCCAGACCCCAAAGAGGTGAATTGCATTTAAATACAGTCTGCCTCCACTGATGGCGTCCTGCCATTCTTTGGCTACTCGAGCCTGGGTCCTTGTTCTGCTCATGTTACCTCTGGGAAAGGAAAGGTGGGAACAGGGAGTCCTGCCCTGGGTGGGAAGATAAAGCATGTGGCCTTGCAAACATAATGATTTGAGGCAGCAAGGCCACTACTCAGGCCAAGGAGTGGGAGACAGTCTTGCCTACCCTCCATGGAGTGTGCAGCCTCATCCCTTTTGTTCTGTGTAGAATTTCCATGGTGCCCTAAAAGGGGCTCCAGCCAGGGGTGTCACAGTGGTGGGAATGTGGGCATTGTTTCTTTGACCTCATCACCGTGTTCTCAACAAGCATCAGAACTTCTGCCATCTTCGGGGGCCTGCACACTGGCCGCTAGTGGCTGCCATGTTGTTCCCTCCATTGAGTCGTAATCCTGGCTGCAAAGGGGGAATCTGGGGAAGGATGTGAGATGGATACTCTGATCATTCTGAGAGTCCTCTACAACCAAAGGGAGTCCGCTTACTGGATTTGGTCCACGAGAAGGTCAGAGAGAAAGCTGTGACCATACTTTAAACTTCTGAACCTGTTTTCCCACGTATAATCCTATACGATACTTAAGCAGGAAGCACAGGGCTGTGGATAGGGTCCTGTATGGAATTATGGATAATTCATTCATCCTGGCTCTAGTCTGACTTCTCCAAGAAAACACAGCATGCTTCAAGACAACTGTGTAAGGGGTTTGAGTTTAGATATATATTCCATTTGCATTACAACATTCTTTACCTTCTCTGATTTTTTCTCATTTGGGGCAGACTAGCTGTTTCACCGGATCATGGTATAAGGCAGCAAGGTCAGGGAGAAGATGCCAGCCCAAGGCTGGAGTGGGGACACTTCGTGGAGGACAGCTGCTAGAACAGAGACGGGGCAAAGAAGGTTGGAGAGGGGCGGGAGGAGGAAGAAAGGAGGGAGGGGTGAGAGAAGGTGGGGGTGGGTATGAGAGAGAAAGACAAAGGCGGGGAGAGGTGGGGGACAGTGTCAGGGAAGAAGGGAAAAGGGCCGGAAGAGCGGCTTTGACATTCCTGATAAGTGAGGACAGAAGGACGGAGCCTGCAAAACCAGGCGACCCCACCGAGATGGGGCCGAAGCGAGCGTCTTGCAAACCGGGTTGAGGGGGCACCCCCAAGAGCTGAGGCAGTGTTGTAAGACAGCCCATTAGTCCTCCTCAGACTTGACTGCGGTGATTTAACATTCACTGCATGCTCATGACGGTGGGCGCTTCAGTGCATAAATGCCATTTGCCGCTAAGGCTGGGTGTCATTAAAAAAACAAGGCAGGTCTAATTAGACCTTTTCCCTGGACAGTTCTTGAAGTCCTGGGATTAAAAACATTGATCTTTTACATACCCCCCCCCCACACACACACACTTGGAAAACTGAATTGTCCACATACTTTTCCAGATATTAATAAAATGAAAACAAAACCATAATCCTGCCAAGGAATACCACGCAGGTGTCAGAACTTTGGAGTTGGTAGAGCCAACATGGTAACATGTCCTAGAGTTTCTGTGAGATGACCAGCTCCTTGCTTCACTGAGCTGAATATAATTACCCAGATGGAGAACTGGGAAAAAGTCACAAGGACAGGGAGGCATCCTGTATTTGTCAAAAGAACAACCCTGTATGAGTTTAGCAATGAGTTTAGTAATCCTACTCTACACCCGAGTGGCAGATGTTATCACCAGCCAAGCAGATATTTAGACTGTGCCCCAGTAGCAGTGGATCCAGTAAATTTTTAACTGTTGTGGCTGACAAGCAGGTTGGACAGGAGTAATGGAGACACAGTCCTTGCCTTCCACGTAAAACAGAATATTCTTCCGATTGCCCACTGTCTTTATAGGGTAACCTTTCTGAGAAATGTCAACAATTCGAAAGGCTTGCCACCCCCATTCCAGACTCCTCACCAATGCCCAGCATCACACTTACTCCCTCCCAAACCAAACCCCATCTCTGGGCCGTCATATGAGGATTTGAAAGGAGCAAGAGAGAGTTATTTCTGAACTCACGGGCACCTCCAATCATTTATTCCACCACCGTGTTTCAGACAGTTCCTGTGTGCTGGGCACTGCAGTGAGGACAACAGATACGTCCTCTCCTCTCATGTCTGCTGTTGCCTCCTAAGGCAACTCTTTAACTGTCCCCAGAACAGAGCCAGGGAAGCCGAGGCACAAAGGGTAGCCACAGATAGTAGCAGAGTGGGTTTGACAGCTGCCCGTGCCCCAAGTTCAAGCTCTCTGACTTCAGAGCCCAACATGGGACTGTGCTTTATGAACGAAGAGAGCCACCTTGAGCCCAGGCCACTGACTCCCAGCCTCAGGGATGTGACAGTGTAACGGATGCAGATGCAGCCTCGGCCACACACAGACTGGGTTCAAATCCCCATTACCATGTGCTAGCCATGTGATGTTGGTCAAGTTACTTAACCCCTCTGAGCCAGTCTCACTGATAATAGTGGAATGATAATAGTGCCAGTCTCAATGGGCTGTCATGAGGATTAACTAACATAGTATTATCAAGTGATGCAGTACACGCTTCACACATGTCAGACTTGAATGTTTTTAAGGGAGCAGGCCACTGAAATTCCAGGTGAGGAAGCCTAAACAAGGGCATGTCTGGGGCCGTGGTGCTAAAATGCAATAAGTATAGTCCCATCATAGAGGTCAGAGCGTAGGGTAGGCTGAGTCCTAAACCATGAGTAGGAGTCAGACAGCAAAAGGGGTGGGGGAGGGACATTCCAAGCAGAGAAAGAAGCATTTAGCACTTGCAGTAATCAAGCCAAGTTCTCTTACATTTAGAGGAATCCACTCCTTTGTGGAACATTGCAGGGATCCCAAGTAGAACCAAGTACCTCATGTCTGAAGACAAATATCCCATCCTGTGAGAGCTCCATCCCTCAGCCAAGACTCAGAGTCACTAGGACAGTGCCCCTTCACCTCATGATCAGACCCTGGCATCTGAGCACTAGGAAAGGTGCTGAGGGCAGGCTCTGATTGGGGGTGGGGTCAGGGGGACATCTGAGAGGTGATAGAGGGGCACAGCCAACTGAGAACACACTCCTAGGGCCATACTTGTTTTGTTTTGTTTTGTTTTAAGATTTTATTTATTTGAGAGAGAGCACAAGCAGGGGGAGGGGCAGAGGGAGAAGCACACTCCCTGCAGAGCAGGGAGCCCAACATGGGACTCGATCCCAGGACCCTGGGATCATGACCTGAGCCAAAGGTAGATGGTTAAGTAACCGACTGAGCCACCCAGGCACCTGGGCTAGGGCCAGACTTGAGGAAATGGTCTCCTTAAGCAGCATCAGGACCCTCACCTAGGGCTCGTCTCCTTCCTCTCTCATGTGGGACCAGCTATACCTCCTCTACCCTCCACCATCCCATAGACAGGGCTTTTGGAGCAGCAAGAGCTTAAAGCAGTGCCCCACCTGTGAGTTGGTGAGATGCAGAACTGACCCAGTAAATACAGGCTCACTGACTTCCAACTTCCGGTGAAACTTCGGAAGGTCCATCCACCCCAGGCCTGCCATTCCAGAACAGCAGCGATCCAGCAGGGCCGGGTCAGGGGCAAGCTGTAGTCAGATGGACATGCACTCTTCAGTTTGCCACAGTACCCCCCACCCTGCTTCGCTCACTCACAGACCTACATGTGAATTAGGCATGTTCTCCTGGAGTCTGTGTGCTGGACATCATTTCAGTCAGTCTTCAGGGACGCCTTGAAAGTTGATCAGCTGATCCAGGCACTACACTCTCAGGAGTGTAGTAAACTTAGTCTGGGCCTAACAGGGTCAACAGTTTTGAGGTGGGGTCTAGACATCTGTGTTGTTAGCATACTCCCCAAGTGATTCTGATGTATAAGAATCAAATCTACCTTTCTCATACCGTACAGTAGGACGGGAATGTAGCCACACTGGTTGCCGACACATTGAACAATGCCTGTAGTGATAGGTAAACAGTGGATGCTCGGAGCTCCCTGAGGCCTCTCCCCACTCCTGCCCCCTGACCCTTTCTCCACATTCTCCGCATCGCTCTACCTTCCAACAGCCTAAGAGCTCAGGCCCGGGACAGCTGAGACCTTCGGCACTAACGCTCTTCTTCATTCTCACTGGCTAGTGCCTACACCATAGCGGTTGTTAAAAATCTTGACTATTACCCTGTTATAGGGAATAAGGCCCAAAAAGGTCCCTCAGAGTTTACGAGCACTGCTCTCAAGCCCAGCACTCTTCCCAGCCACTGTCCAGCCCTTAGTAATCACTTCCATCAGGCCCTTGGCTTAGGAAAGGAGCTGATTTAGAGGGTGGGCAGTTCCTTGCTCATTGGTCTCCACCTTTTTTTAGCAAACGTTTTCACAGATCCAAGCAATGCCCTTTAGCTTCCCAGCTCCTCTGGCATCAGTTAAGCAGGTATGGGAGTCGCTTGTCTTGGTGAGATGAGCAGTCGTGACCCCCACCCTCTCACCCACCTCTGCCCATACAGACCAGCCTCACAGCCTCTGTGGGAAGCGACCGGCTGTGGCCGGCAGCAGAGCAGAGTCCTATTACGTCCCCGCTGGGAGCAAGGGCTGAGCAAGCCGGGCTGAGCCAGGGCCAACAGCTGCTCCCACAGGCGCCTCTTGCTTACGTCTGGACAGTAAAGACCCCAGTTCTGCCTTGGGCCGAGCAGAGTGAGTGTGAGCACTTCCAGCAACCTCTCGGGTGACCGTGAATGACAGTGGCTCGTGGAATGTGCTGGGCAGGCAAGACCAAACTAGAGGAGTTAACTCCAAAGATCCTTGCAGCAGCTCAGTGTCCCTGAGAATAAACCTTGCAAGGACATTTTGCTTGAAATAGAACAATGTTAAATGATCAAGCCATCTGTTTGCCAGGCCGTAGTATTGTGTCCTAGACCAGAGCAGAAACAAAATGTTCTCAGGAAGCCCTTCTGCCTATTGAC